TTTGAACTGCAGGAGATTTTCTTGACCATGTCTACATGCCTAAATGCACCGAGTTGCCGCCATGTGATTGTCTGCTTAGAAATTAAGTGTTAACGAGCAGTTGGACAGGTGTACCTAATAAAGTGACCGGTGAGTGTATATAATGCACTAAAAGGCATCTGTCTAACTACCTATAGATATCAGTGCATTGTGGTTTTCTTGTGTTCTCAACAATAGGAAAGAATTCAATAAATAGATGTTTGAGCTCATTTATGGAAAATACAAAAACCTGATGAAAGCGTTCAGCTGGAGTAACTGTAGGTCCTTCAGCCCCCACCCTTAGAGCGCCCCCACCCTTAGAGCGCCCCCACCCTTAGAGCGCCCCCAGCCTTAGAGCGCCCCCACCTTTAGAGCGCCCCCACCAGCTTTCATTACAAAGTTACACCCTTGCTTAGTGCCAAAGACTAAAGTAATTGTATCAATAAAATTATTTTTTCAGTTTTCCAGATTGAACTGCTACCATGTTGCGAACACTTCCTTCACATATCCTCTTATCCAGTCAGTCCTTCTGTAGCGTGACAGACTTAGAAATAAGATGTGCAACGGAAAGATCAATCAAAAAGTACAGACTAAGATGATAATTAATATTAATTAAATATTATAGTGTTTTGAAAAGGTGCAATAAATAATGCATTCATTAAAAAGACCATTATTCATTACTGCTTATACACACAAATATCGTTATCTTTTAGGGTTTATTTTCAGAAACTTCAAAGTCTTTCAATACTGAAAGTTTCCACTGTGAGGGTTCCTGTGTGTGAGTGATGCATCTCTTCCAGAGAGGATCTTTGGGGAGAACCTGGGCAGCCTTCACAGGTGAAGATAATCTTTCTCATCAGAGTGCCGAGCTTTAAGGAGCAGCAGATCCTTCACTCAGTGCTGGTTTCTCGTGTTTACATTGTTTTTTCGTTGCTTTCCAGGTCCTTGTGTCTTTTCCCTGATGTTTACTGGTTTTTGTTTGATTTTCTATATTTTTGCCTCTGTTCCTCTTGGACTTTCACTAAATCATCCAAACTCATCTGTGGTTACTCCTCTCTGTATTTGGGTCCTCAAAGCCAAATCCATTTAAATCCAAATTCAAATATTTTCTCAAGAACAATACCATTTTGCCAGTTCTGAAGAGGTTTTTTTTATTTTTCTTGCAAAAGAGTCCAATTTATCACATAGAGCATTTGAAGAAAGATTGATTTTGCTTATAAATCTACATCCAGGTTTTCCAAAGTTAGGCTGTTCTGAAATAACCCTGCATCACTTAAATCCACAGCTGTCCATTAAAGCTTAGCAGCCTAAGTGCAATAATAAACTGTCCTTATCATACCAAAAGTACAGAAACATTACAAAGATCGATTGATGAGCAGGAACTTCCCGCACTTCCGAAGGCATTGATTATTTATTAAGACACCCATTAAAAAAAGCAGGTCACAGAATTTCTTGCGCATGTAGCAAGAAATTCTGTTTGGGGCATCAAGCAAAGCATCAAGTTCATCGCATGAAATAAGTCATATCCAGGCGTTAATGGATCTCACTACTGGGCTTAAAGAAATTAGTTTGCAATTGCACCGTGTATTTTTAATGATCCCAGACAAGTTCTAATTGCATTACCTATTCAAATCAATAAGATCTTGAGTTGAAAAAGCAAATGCATCTTGGGGTGATTGTAGGCAGGTATTATTTTTGGAGTTTTTGGGATTTTTTTCACAAAGTCAGGCTAAGGCTTAAATTTTAAGTGTAATAAAAAATGATAAAAGTGTTTATAAGCTATATTACATGCAAACTAAAGGGGGTTTAAGGGGATGCATCCTGCAGGATTCACTGTATGCATATGTGAGCCACTTAAAGTCAGTGTTTCTTCCTTTACAGCACTTAAACAGCTTGCATTAGTGAGCAGTGATCACTTAGGGCTGCACAGTTGTTTCTAAGGACTCAGAATAAACATGCTTCCCCCCCCCCTCACTAAAGCATCGGCTGATAAGACTAGACGATTCAGTTCAGGACAAAACAGCAGAAAAAGGAAGCAAATATGGCCTCCTGGTGGTCAAAGCACAAAATAAATGCATTCATCCTAATAATAATAACACAAATATAAACAACGTCAAACCTCCATAATGGATGAAGCTCTGCTGGCTTGCAGTGGTTCTCTTTGACCATTAGGCCGCATGTTGACCTGTAATGACTGAGGCGTTGCTTTTTACCAACTAACCCGTTCTAACTACATGTGTTTATTGATTTGTGTGCAGAGTGAGTCTGTGCTGACCTGGGCTGCTGCTTCACATGCAGTTTGAAGAAGACATGGTAATTACCTTTACGTTCATAAATAGTAAATATCTAATATTATATGTTATAATGGGAAAGTCTGAAAACATGAAGAAGCATCAAATTTAAAATAAAGCAAATGAAACAAACAACAAAAGAAAACATCAGGCTGCAGCAAATTTATAACAGGTTACGCATGAAGATTTTTAAATCCAAATGACTGATACCTGACAGAATTATAGGATCTTAAACAAGCTTTCCTTTCTTCCAACTATTACCACAGATCATTTCTCATATCAATATGAAAAACAAATGAAAGATTAATGATTTTTTATTTTCCATATGCAAAAGTGAATAATTATTTCTCTAATAATATGAAACAAACACCTCTGAGGTCTTCTCTTTGGAGGCTTTACACGTTTTATACATAATCTTGCATCCATTCATCCAAATGCAAACTTCATTAATAAGTTAAGCCTGAAGGATCAGTTTCAAAGCTCATTAAGGGTAGAATTCCTACATGCCGAAAATGCAATTCCTAGATATTCAAAATTCCTTAAAATGTGCAATGGAAACATACAAAGAAAAGCTCATAAATGCAATGCTGTGCACAACTCTTCCATGAAATAGAGAATTTAAATCCTGCATTCATGAATTTTGCACACAAAAAAAGTGAAGGTTGGATAAACAAAAATCAATAAAGTGATTTCCAAAAAACTCCCCTCACTATAGCCTAGCTATGGCAGTAAAGTATTTATCCTGCTGAGGTTTTACTCCAACCCTGATCTCACCATGCCTCTATCAGTAGTGAGGTAAACCTACCTGAGGAGGTACCAGCAGCTTCTGACTCCATATGTTCCATTTTATTCCTTAACTTCCCCAGATGTTGTTTGAAAATAGTTCTGTTGTGCCTAAGGCTGTCCAGTCTCATGAACCGGTCATTCCCACCGCGCAGCCGTGAGCTGTGAAACAGCCTGGGCTCTGCAGTGAAGATGAATAGGTGGAGTTGTTGACAGTAAAGAGGAGTATGACATTAAACTCTCAGACTATTGATTGGACGGAGCTCCTGCTGTAAGGAGCATCACTCTCTTCAAACAGGATTTCACTTTTACTAATGTTGCTGACATCAAGGGGAACAACAGATGGATCATCGAAGCTCTTAAAGGGAGCGTATAACATATTGTCAAACATATGAAATCAATCTATATCAAGTTATTCATCTTACTCTAAAAGGAGAGGGGATATCTTAAGCTGAAAAAGTATGAAAAGCCCAAAAAAATACTGCCATACTCATTGTGGCCACATGGGGGTGCTATAG